TGATACTGGTTTCAACTGCAGTTGAAACCTTAAAACCAATGGACACTAAAGAATTTGATTCTTGTTGTTGGAGCAAAATAAACAAGTAATTGCCTTTCTTGATTTGTTTTTAAGCAAACCTAATGGGATGACTGTACCTGTTCATATATTTTTTCACTTTTTCTCATTGACTGTCTTTACCTGTAGGTTAAAGGAATGGATGAATTTGGAGACTGCAAAGTTGTATAGAACGACTCAGCACATGTATACACCCTCTAATTAAGAGACTGAACTAGTTTGCCATTCTATTTCTGAGCTAGTTACTGTGTAGATCTTGTATTTAATTTGGGGCAACAAAATAAATTCACTTGAGAAATACAATGCTTAGAAAAACAATTTCTTAATCACTCTTAATAGTCATATCTAAGGTCTGAGGCTTTATGTAGCTAATGCTTTCAAGCTGCTGACCCTGTTTTGATGGTAGCTACTCATTGTGAAATTCTCTGCAATGAAACCAAGTGCTCTGACCGAGGTGAGCTCTGTGGCCAAGTTCAGTATGAGAAGCTGTTGAAATAGAAAAATGTGTCTTGCTTTGAGCCCTTATTCTGTTTCAGCAGACAGCGTCAAAGCAGGTTTTCATAGGAGCCATTATCTCTGAAATCTACTTTTTGTGGTTCACCGAGACCAGGAAAATATACCTTTGCTTCTGTATTAACTAGTTTGTGTTTGCTTTGGATCTTGAAACGTACTAGGGAGACATGTTGTAATGAACACTTCTTCCCAGTTGTTAATGAAACTGACTTTTTAAAAGTAATATTGACAGAGCAATGTAGATAATCTTTTGTAACTAGAGAAGTTCAGGGACTAAATCAGCAGCTTTCAGATGGAGTTTTCATCAGTGCAGAAGTCTGAAAACCAAAGAGTAATGAGAAGAGATCAGAATACTAGTCATCTCATTGCTAGACAAAGAAGTCTTTAAAGCAGGACAATGAGAAGACAGGCAAACTCTTAACTACTTGGAAAGGAAACAGCTCCCTTTGGGAGGTTTTGTTTTTGTTTTTCTCAGATCTAAGTAAGATAAAGAAGGGTCAGGTATTATGAAACTTTAAACTTGATAAGATGCAAGTGTGTGGGGGTGGAGGAATATAGATG